ATTTAAGACACCATGTTTCCCAATGACGCCACAACATTAAAATAGAATCATGACATTTCAAGCGATGATGAATTGGCAACTATGTATAAGAGAAAAAACAGTTCCTTTCATTTTGATTACCATGCCAACAGCCTTGTCAATTTTATATTGATATTTAAAAAAATTTCATTTAATATTATTATGGAATCTATACTGTATAATGTATATATATTCATATATATTACATATTTATACTGTATATAGTATATATTACATATATACTATATAAACTATGTCATTTATTCCTATGATGGTGAAGCTGAAATTTTAGCAGCCATTACTCCAGTCTTCGGTGTCACATGATACTTTAGAAATCACTCTAATATGCTGATTTGGTGCTCAGAACGCATTTCTTCTTATTATTACAGTAATATTGAGAACAGTTGTGCTGTTTAATATTTTTATGGAAACTGTGATATATTTTTTTTCATTCTTTGATGAATAGAATGTTCAAAAGAACAGAATTTATTTCAAATATAAATCTTTTGTATCATTCTAAATAACTTTACTTTTGCTCAATTTAATGCATCCCTGCTGACCCCAAGCTTTTAAACAGTTTTTACCTGTCCGTTTTTAATGTCTTGAAGGTGTCTGAAAATAACATGCATGAATCTGTAACACTCACCCTTGTGTTAAGTGTCGTGATTAATGGGGGCTTAACATCAGAATCTGCTTCAATAAGAGATGATTTGCTTTCATTCCTCATTTCTGGGAAGTGACTTGGAGGAAAGGGGCTGCTTTCAAGAGGGCCCTGCACTGTCGTCAGTCTTTCACCAACTCTCTCTGTCTCTGATTGGTTGAATTCTTCTTTTCCTTGAACAATTGGCCAATCATATAGCCCAGGCCGCTCTTCTTGTTCTACTGTTGCAGCATCTCTGTCTTCAGCTCTTTTGTCCTCCAAACTTCGGAAACTCTCGGCATACTCAGCATCAGTGTTGTCCAAATCCTGAATGCCTTCTAACAAGGCAAGGTCCTTCATGGGGTCCTCAGAGCCCCTGTGCCTGGGCAGGGGCTGCCAGTGGTTTGGGAAAGACTCTCCTCGAACCAGGGATTGCAGAGCCAGTGTCTGCGGGGGCCCACGCTGCAGAAATGCCAGGAGAGAGTCAGTACCAGGTCTCTGCTTCGGCTGGCAGTTCTCTTTGCGCTGACAACTAAGGACATAGCAGCGACGCTCAAAAAACCAGGCCAGGTCACAGCCCGAGAGATCGCAGCAGGCCCCCGCACACTGGGCCAGAGACGAAACATCCGGAACCCGCAAAATACTGCTGCTCCTCAGCTCCGGAGACACTACACTCTCAGAGTAGGTTGCGGCCTGCCAGCATTGTCCCGATACTGCATCAACAAAACACAACAAATGCATGATGAAAGATATTGGGGTTTATCATTTTAGATTCAGGATACTAATATAAACATGTTACACAACTGAACCCCTTTATACAGTCCAAAGCAACGTCTCCACAAAATAAAAAATAAAAATTTTCCCAGTGTCTTTTATGTGCTGAAATGATGACAAATTAAATGGCAGCTTGATAAGTAAAGCACTAGCCAGATGGCAGAATCTGTTCACTGCACACACAAAAAAGGGAAAAAAAAGAAAGAGAAAATATGTGAATTCCTGAGGCCTCAAAATAACAACATGATCAACACTTTGCTGGAAAAAAATATTGTAAACAATCTACAATGATGTCTGCCCTCTGTTTCTAAGTTAATACTTTTTAGCAAGTAAAAGGCCTTCTAAAAATTCAACAACAAAAAAATGTCCAACTTCAGGTCATAGTACATGTGTCTTTCTGCTGGTAAATTTTTAGTAAACATGTGAATAACATTTATATTATTACTAATATTTCAGGATGAGCATTTACTGGAATGAAGATCAAAATCAAATTAAATTGTAAAATGGTTTGCCCCCTCTTGTATAAAACTATATTAACCATAACCACAAATATGTTACAAAAAATAAAACATATATGCATATTTTTTATATAATTTGTCTAAATGTTCAATAAACTATGTCATTTAAAAAAAATCGGATTATTATATATATTATACATATGTCAGACTTTACATGATTAAATTACAGGTGTCAACATCAACTTACTTCACAACCTGGGCTCTTTTTTATACTATTTATGGATTCTAACTATAATCCAGAATGGCAGTGCAGACTTGTCTTGGTGGTGATGTAAGTACTGCAGAAATATATACATACCTCTGATACAGAAGAGCAACACAAGCGAGAGAATTGGTGAGAAGAAGTTCATGATGCCACTGCCGCTTTTTCACAGCGATGGATTCTGACGGTCATTCCCTCTTCAAACGTAGGTTAAAGACAGGGGAGACAGCACAGGCTAGAGTATCACAAACAAACAGGACAAAAATAACAATATGGCAGGAGCATCAATCAATTAATAATAATTCAAAGCAATTCTAGAATCTAGATCCTATTTGGTGGCAGGGCCTTTTGTGATTTGACTTTCACCCTTCATAGCAACCAGCCCCTACGGCTTAGACACCTCTGGAGAAATCTTACATGTGATACTAAAATACATTATATTATCTGCGCTATGTTATAGTATATTATTTAACACAACTGCCACTAGTTGTTACATAAAACAAGCAAATCACTAAACCCAACAGGGCTAAATAGAAAGCCAACGGCAAAAATGTGCGCTATTGTGAGTTGTAGCTGTACCAGTGGGATGTGACGCTCTTATTCAAGCATCTGTTTCCATGACATCGAGAATCAGCTTCCGTACTGCTGCTCCATAGCGAACCCGCGCTGCTGGAGTAATGTTGGGATGAAGGTCTGGTATTGCTTCAGTGATGTTGAGATTAAGGTCTGATATTGCTAGAGAGATGTTGAGATGTTGTACGTCTGCGCGAGGGAGTGTGTCAGCAGAGTAGACAGACAGAGACGAGAAGGGCGGAGGGAGGGAGACACGTGACGCAGGCCCGGACTGGCCATCGGGAGCACCGGGAGAATTTCCGGTGGCCTGGCGGCTGATTTGGCCCGCTGCCCTGTTCTTTTTTTTTTTTTAGTTATTATATTATTAATAATATTTTATATTTATGCCTTCTCAATGTACCAAAGTGATCATTTCCGATTTTTTCATTCGATAATAACTCGATAATAAATCATAAATCGGTTAGTCTTGGCTGTCAGCGCTGCACCGCGCTTCCGTCAAACGGTTCCGAACAGAACTGATGCGCGGGACTCGATGAAGGAGTCAAGTGCAGTGCAGGTCAGTTTCATTTGTAAATACGCTAGATAGTTTTGTCTTTATTAACCTAGTTGAGTATTAAACTGCTAGTAATTTGTTAGCTATCAGTAGCACCCCATTATTGTCATCATTCAGAATACTGTGCTAAAGGACATCAATATCGATTGTAAAGTTACATAAAAAAAATTAGCAGAGACAGATATTCACATGGATTTATTGTACAGGGAGGGAGGGAGCTAGAGCAGACAGCAACAAAAATAATAATATGAGTCAGTCTAATAATTCAATAGTGTGTTCAGTATTAGAATTTTTCAACAAATATATTGTACTAATTTTGACATTTAGGCACCTTTTCAGCATCATTACTCCAGTCTTCAGTGTCACATGATCCTTCAGAAATCATTCTAATATGCTGATTTGCTGCTCAAAAAAACATTTATTATGTTGAAAACAGATTAGATTTTTGTTTTCAGGTTTCTTTGATGACTCCACTTACTGACTCCAAGCTTTTTGTATAGTGCATGTATAATGTTACAAAAGCTTTTCATTTAAGATAAATGCTGATCTTTGGATCTTTCTATTCATCAAAAAATCCTGATGTACTCAACTGTTTTAAATATTGATAATAATAATAACAACAACAACAAATATGTATATGTATCTTCAACAGCAAATGAGCATATTAGAATGACTTCTTAAGGATCATGTGACACTGAAGTCTGCAGTAATGAATGATGCTGAAAATTCAGCTTTGATCACAGAAATAAATTACATTTTAAAATATATTCCAATCGAAAACAGTTATTTTAAATAGTAAAAATATTTCACAATATTACTGCTCTTGCTGTACTTTGGATCAAATAAATGCAGGCTTGGTGAGCAGAAGAAACTTCTTTAAAAAACATTAAAAATCTTACTGTTCAAAAACTTTTGACTGGTAGTGTATATTTGTATGAAATATAGGTTTATTAAATCTAGGGTATTTAAGTCATTTTAAGATAAATAACATTGTTTGCTAACAAATTTAAATGAGGTGAATGCTTTTTTTATGTGATGGCCATACAAATAACAGGGTTGTCTGGTTTCAAAAATTGTTGTGGATGTATAGGCTATATACAGGAAATAAGGGGCCAAAATTGCACCTTTTGGGGTACAACAGTAACCTTAAAAGGACATATTTGTTCCTTTTTTACCCCTAATAGGTAGTCCTACAAATTAGTACCTTAAGGGTACGAATTACTACTCTTAAGCTCCTAATATGTACGTGTAGGCCTACTGCTACAGTGTCAAGCTGTTGTACTGCAAAAGGTACAATTTTGGCCCCTCTTTTCCTGTGTGGCCTGGATGAGTGTGAGATTTCCCGGCCCTGACGTGACGTCATCTCTGTGATGTTGCAGAAACACACAATACATCCTTGATTTGGTATATTAATTGCATCTTATTTTTGCGTATATACTTAAGTATTTTAAATTTTATTTAAATTAATTGTTGACATAATTATATTATTTTATTCTTAAAAAAAAATACGTTATTAAATTACCATTATTAATTATAATATTATAATAGCCACAGCCATAGACTGTAACAACATCATTTTCGCCTTTTCACTTATTTGAAAACCACCTTTAAAATTCACATATCAAAAAATTCTACATTTCATACTTGGAACGGCTATTTGTAAGGAACCAGAGCCTTTGAAAACAACTCTGCATGGAACGGAGAACTAAAAAGGGGCGGGGTTAATTTGTCAGTTTCGGAAGGCTGACTTATCTCATTTTATCGCTTCGCTGTTTTAAAGTCAGTGTATATTCATTATTGCAATTTATTAATCAGTTTATTTATTTATACCATGAAGTACGACAAAAACGTCATGAGATTTGAATGTGTTGCCATTGCCACTCAATCTGGCTCGAAATCGAAACTTAACAGCTGCTGCCCTATGTAACAAGCAGAGAAATAAAAGAGAGAAGGAAAAGGAGAAAGGGTGATGCTTTATTCTTGAGACTTGGGACTTAAGAACAGTTGTTTGTAAGTATTACATTTATGTTATTGTATCTCGTAAGTGCTACATTCTATCTCGCAATCGTGACTTAAAAATGTGTAATTCTCGTACTTGTGACACTGTTTCTCAGTATTTAGTGCTTATTGAATGTACGGTAGTTCGACAAAGGTAAATATAATATAAAATATGTAAAGGTGTAAGATTATGTACATATGGCAGTTCAACAGATATATTAATAAGCTATACAAAATGAACTAATGAATGACGTCTAATATTGCATAATTGTCATTGTTGGTATGGGCTATATTGGATATAATGCATGCGGTGACTAATGAGCTAACTATGCTTTTCATACGCATATGTTGAATAAACTTGTTCATGTCAGGTTTAACTTGACTTCATAGTAATCACTGTCAGGAAAGGATCAATCCCTAGAACAGAAATCGAACCTGAAACTCACAGAAGTGAACACAAACATATGTTCCCTATTAAAATGGATAAACCACTGTGTTCACCAAGGTAAGTAAATTATTCAGTATTATTTTAGTTAATCAGTGTCAATGTTTACAATGTTTACAAACATGTTTGTGTTGGTTAGACTGTAATTTTTAGATTTCAAAATGCCAAGCTACTTTTGTCATCATAGATATTATGCTGCTACGGTATTTTATTTTTAATAGACTAAATGTATAAGCAAAACAATTGGCGTTGTCATTTTGTTTTCTGATACAGTCATACTTGCTCAGGAGAGCCCCCTGTAGGCTGTAATGACACTACATCAGGTCTTGTAGACACCAAAGTTCAGGGGAAAACTGGGAAGAAGAAAAAGCAAAAAAAGAGACAAAGTGCCACATCCCAAATGAAAACAGCCAGTGAGTGCTCTCAGGTCACTGTTGAAGAGCAGTCATCACCCTCACAACACCTGCCTGAGCGCCTCGAAAACAGGTCTGCAGGATCAAAGCACAAAAAGAATACCCGAAAAACAAGAAATCAATCTATTTCACCTGCAACTTCTCCTGCAAGTTCCTCTCATCAAGATAAAACCCAGAGTGCACAGCAAACATCAGCTCGCTTTACCTGTGACCAGTCAACCCAGACAGAGGCTTCCCAGCTCCAGTCTGTCCAAACACAGTCAACACAAACCCCTCCGATCCAGGATATACACACACCATCAACAGAATGCAAGTCCACCCAGACAATACAGTCTAGTTTTTCCTTGCAACAGGCATACTGGGGAAGATCTTTCACAGAACAGTCAGCTGATGAGCAGAAAACTCAGTCCAGTCATCTGACACTGATATGCTGGAATATAGATGGTCTGGATCCAGATAATGTCTTTGAGCGGGCCAAAGGTCTGCTTTCACACTTAGGAAAGTAAGTGTTACCCATTTTTAAAAAAAATATTTTTAGGATGCAAATTTCTTTAGACCACATTTTAATACAATATGTTAACATTGCAATACAGTGTCCAAACATTAATACAATATGGATAGGTTTCTTATGCACAGATTTAATGATGACTAAATTCAGTATGTTTGTGGTGAATAGCATTTTTAAATCATCAGGTTTAGGGAGTTTAGAGAGCATAATAGTGTTTGCTTAATTCATATTATTTTATATTAAAAGGTGAAGTGGCTAATTTTTGCACTACCAGTGGCACTAAACAGAATTTTAAAAATTACGCTTTTCAAATAATCAGTTTTCCCTGAACACTCCCGTTTGTCATTGGTTAGACAAACAGGTAGTCCTGCCCCAGACTTGTTGAGCCAGTGTTACTATATACTAATAGATATACTCAAAGAAACAATCAATGTTTTGAACCTACAAATAGGTTGCTTGTTTTCTTTTCATATTATGTTGGAATTATTTTAACATTAATGGCATTGCACAGAATGCACACATCATGTCTACAGCATGTAGTACTCTCAATTAACTAAAAAATACTTCATGTATTACAAAACCACTTACAAAAAGACTTGAATGAATGAGTTACCAAGTGATGATTTTAATGCAGGTACCGTGCAGATGTTGTACTGTTGCAAGAGCTGGTTCCTGTTAGTTGGAAGATTTTAAAGAACATTATGAAGGATTATCAGTTTTTGCAAGGTATGTTCATGATTGCATACAATATATAAATAAATAGTGTTTCTGGTATGAATCTTAGATCATTTGGTGTTTCAGGCAGTGAAGATGGCTATTTCACTGGCATTTTGCTCAGAAAGGACAGAGTGCAATTCCTCCAGAGCAATATTGTGAAGTACCCCACCACAGAGATGGGTAGAAACCTGCTAATAGCACATGTGGGTTTTTTTATCCATTGGATAATTATTGATTTAATATGCTTTTTTCCCTTTGACCATAATTATAATGAAATGTTCATACTGTAAATTTAGAGCATTCAAAAATATTTAGCTTACTGTTTCTGTTTACATGTTTATTTAGGCAAGCTTTTTAGGCCATCCACTATGCATTATGACATCTCATCTGGAGAGCTGTAAGGCAAGCTCTCAAGAACGCTTGAATCAGCTGCGGAGAGTCTGGAAATGGATGAAAGAGGCTCCACAGGACCACACAGTTATATTTGGAGGAGATACCAACCTTAGAGATTGGGAGGTTGTGTATGATACTAACACGTGTTTGCCCTGATGTCCTCAAAATCTCAATAATGAGTTTGTTTGACGTGTTTATTATGACAGGTAAAGAAGCTCGGTGGGCTGCCGGATGGTATCTCTGATGTGTGGGAGATGCTGGGGGAACCGGAGGAAAGCAGATACACCTGGGACACATCCATCAATGATAACAATGAAATCCCTAATTCTATACGCCTGAGATTTGACAGACTGTTCCTCAGAGCAGCTGCAGAGGGTGCCAAACTACGGCCAGAAAGCATGACCCTGATTGGTCTGGAGAAGCTGAAGTGTGACTATTTCATCAGCGATCACTGGGGCATCCTTTGTACTTTCATATTTGGAGCATCAGAAGAGCAGTGTGTCACTGACTGATTTTTTTTAATGGCCTGCACTTGATTATATGAATGGGTTGTTAAAGGGACAGTTCACACAAAAATGAAAATTCTGTCATTAATTACTCACCCTCATGTCGTTCCAAACCCGTAAGACCTTCGTTCATCTTCAGAACACAAATTAAGATATTTTTGATGGAATTCGAGAGCTTTCTACCCTCCATAGACAGCAATGTAACTGAAATGTTCCCAGAACCAGAAACTTAGTAAGGACATCGATAAAATAGTCCATGTGACATCGGTGGTTCAACCGTAATTTTACAAAGCTACAAGAATACTTTTTGAGTGCAAAAAAAACAAAAATATTGACTTTATCCAACAATTCTTCTCCTCCAAATCACGTACTCCGCCATTTGGAACTACAAGAGAGTGAGTAATTAAATGACAGAATTTTCATTTTTGGGTAAACTATCCCTTTAATAGGTTAATATTATATAGTTAATGGGTCAAAGGCACATGCTTTTTAAACAAATCACTGTTGATATGAACTCTGAACTAGTGTTTAAATGGTCACTGATAATCATAAACTGCTGGGAGAATAACCTGTTGTGCACCAAATATATACTTATAGGGGAGACCAGGGCTATTTGTCACACTTTCTCCAAACTTAAATCGGGTCATCTCCAAACTTAAATCGTTTTTGTCTTTTCAAGATTTGGAGAAGGTTATTCATGCTTTTATTACCTCACGTTTAGATTACTGTAATTCACTGTACTCAGGTCTTCCTCAGTCATCATGACAAAATGCAGCTGCAAGGCTGCTGACTGGGGCAAAGAAATATGACCATGTCACTCCAATTTTAGCTTCGCTTCACTGGCTTCCGGTCCATTTTAGAGTTCAGTTTAAGATTCTGTTGTTTGCTTTTAAAGCTCTAAACAATCAAGCTCCATCTTATCTTAAAGACCTTATTATCCCTTTGTCATCGACCAGACTTTTAAGATCCACTGACAGGGCTCTTTTATCTGTCCCTCGTTCCCGTTTGAAAACTAAGGGTGACAGAGCCTTTTCAGTCACTGCCCCCCGTCTGTGGAACCAATTGCCTTTAGACTGCCACCTTGCACCTTCCATTACCATTTTTAAATCCAGGTTGAAAACGTATCATTTCTCCTTAGCATTTTAATTTCATTTAGAAGAACCTTTTTGTCTAAATGGTTCCATAAAGAACCTTTAACATCTGAAGAACCTTTCTGTTTCACAAAAGGTTCTTTGTGGAGAAAGAAGGTTCTTCAGATTATAAAAAGTTAAGAAAGAGATGGTTCTTTAAAGAACCTTTGACTGAATGGGTCTTTGTGGAACCAAAACTGGTTCTTCTATGGCATCGCTGTGAAGTCACTGCCCCCCGTCTGTGGAACCAATTGCCTCTAGACTGCCGCCTTGCACCTTCCATTACCATTATTAAATCGAGGTTGAAAACGTATAATTTCTCTTTAGCATTTTAATTTCACTTCATTGTTGTGTTATTGTCTGTTTTTTTTGTGCTTCTTTTCTGTGTTTTCTTTTCTCTTTTAATTTTAGTTTACATTGTTAAGCACTTTGGATAGCTTTGCTATGTTGAAATGTGCTATATAAATAAAATGTACTTACTTACTTTCTGCCCCAGTAATTCAGTACTTATTTCTTTATAATCACGTACTGTATCTGACGTCTTGCCTACAAAAAGAGCCACTACAGACATTCAGTTTGTTTGGGAATATTGCCTAGGATAAAAAATATAGTTCACTATACACACTGAACATGTGTGACTACATTCCCTAGGAGTGGAAAGAAACCTGCTATTAACCAGCCTATTACTGGATTTTTAAATTAAAATTAAAACAATGATGAAAATCAAACCATTGTTTTGGCCAACAAATATTGTGAATAAAAATGTGTAATATCAACAACACGTATATGACAACTTGCTCCAACCGGTCCTTAATGAAAAATTCCTGCAATTTGCAAGATTCTTCCCTTATTTTTCCACCAGAGGGAGCGCAAAGGACAGAATATGATTCATGCTGTGACTGAGAACATCAACCCTAAAAAAAACTTAAAGCACTATTATATATTTTGTTAATTTATTTTAATTCATAATATTCTGGGTTTAGAACGGAGTATGTAGTGTTACATAGCATATATGATTACTTCTAATGGTTTTATGTTTACATCTAAGGTAGTCATCAACCACAGATTTAGGATTACTGCCTAATTTTTGAGACCAGTATAATTTGGCAGCATTGCCACATATATAGTTTAAATGGACACTGTGGTGTAAAATAATGTGGACATTTAAGACTATGCATTTTGATTCAATGCACAAAACTACTGAAAATCTGGACTAGATCTTCTGGGTAATCCAGATTCTTGGCAAACATGGCCGTTTTCATTTGGTAAAATGAGTTACAGCACATTCTCTCTCTCCTACTTAAGCTAAACAGAATTGAAATGTGCCAGTACAGTTAGATGCAAATTTAGAGAGGTGGCAGGCTGACGACAAAAATTATTATTTTTTTCTTTGGCATAGTGTCAAGAATTGGATTAACAAAGAGCCGTTTACCAGGACAGTCCTCATCATGGCCAGCTGGATTTAGAAATTTACTGTATGCAGAAGGTGCCACGAATCTAATGCTGAAGGCAAAAACCTTGAATAAAAAAACAGTGAAAAAATCTGTCCATTAAAATGTATGACAATATCATTAATCAAATATTTTACGCAGTAAAGGGATCAGTGTTCTGTCACACTAATCTATTTGCTTCATTCTCACAGAATAAGATGAATTAATTGCCATATCATCTCTATATAAAGTATTTAATTACATGTTGAATGCTGAAGTATTCTATCAGCCTAACTAGAAGGCATTATTTAATAAAGACCATCATGAAGGTTGTGAAAGATCATTAGCACCCACTGTTATAGGAAAGCCTTAGTCATTTTACTGCAGTGAACTAAAAATATACTCACATTAAACCTTTTGAAAAAAATTTTGGGTCAAAGTTGGGTCATACCAAATGTCTGTTTGAATGTAGTTTGTGTGCAGCAGCATATGAATTTTCATACAACAATCCTTTTCCAGTCAATCCAGGTTTTTCAACAATCCAGGTTTTTTTTTTTTTTTTTTTTGGGTGTTGGAACAGGGATCAACAGGGTTCAGTGTGTTGAGCCCTGTGTGATGTGTGACTCTACAAACCCAAACAACTTAGAAAAAAAACAATAACAAGCATGTTTTAATCTGAACAAGCACAAAACTAAAATACTCACATCACTGTCGATCTCGCTGAGAAGACTTTCCAATTGTGAAATGCTGCTCATCTTTGCTCTAAACATCTGAAGAAATCTGGGTGTATACTGGTCCAAACCCGACAGAAACTACTTCATGAGGTCCTTTGAAGTTAGGCGAGTGAACTCTGCTTCAATCTATTAGACAAAGACATGTCATTTACTTTGCATTTCATAAATTAAACAAAATATGTATGTGCTAACATAAATGGATAGCAATGTTGGAATTCCTATTTCCATATTGTGCAGGAGTTTGGTCATGATTGCCACCAGCAAGACCAAAAATAACATCTGGGCTGGGCTGATGTGCCTAGTGATAGCAGTACAGTTACAGGGAATAACATTTTTGAGCCATCTTGGCTTCTTTTATACCATTTTCCTTTTTTTGTCACGTTGATTCACTTCTTGATACTTTTTGCATAACTTATCCTCCACTTTTTACTTGCAGAGTCTAAACATCATGTTGTGCTGAGTTCATTTAAATAAAGGCCTTTTCAGCAGTTTTTCCCTGTTCAATGACACAACAGCAGGGGTCATAGCAAAAAACAGCGAGCCTGACATCAATGGCCATATCAGCAAACATTTATTTTAAAACACTTGCAATGACAGTGAATTTATTACAAATATTTTCTAAAGTGGTCACAGTTTGTGAAGTGTCATTATTGCAAAACACAGCGTGTAAGCAGAGAACATTAAGAGGAGACATGGCGTGCTGTAAAATGTGTTTTCAGGCCATTTTGTTTTACCTTAAAGGGAAAGTTCTCTCAAAAAGGAAACTTCTGTCATCATTTACTCACCCTTGTGTTTTTCCAAAACGTTGGATTTTTTTCTTCAGTGCAACATAAAAGACAATATTTTGGAAAAAAAATATCTGTTTGTCCATATAATGTCTGGTTCCCAATGTTCTTCAAAATGTATGTTCCACAGAAGAAAGAAATGCATACAAGTTTAGAACATTTTTAAAAATTAACTATCCCTTTAAAAAACATCTGTACTTGAATTAATACTTAAAAATGATTTTGTTTTTGTAACCTAACATGAATTCATATTTTGGCTTCTGGATCCATTGGTTCAAGGTCACATACTACTAAACTTGACTTTTGACTTGCTCCTGAGGTGATAGCTACAGTAACCTTGTCATTCATACAGATTTTTAAAAAATGAAATAACTTAATGCCATAGGCACATTTGTTATTATTCTGATAAACACTCTATAGTTCATCACCATCCTCTTACAAACAAGATGATATCCTAATGCACATGCCAGTTCCCTAATTCATCAATGTCTATGTCAGGCAAATGCTGATGACCTGAAGAACATAATTCACAGTCCGGAGTTAAACCAAAATATGACAAATGACTGCCACACTATCTGGGTGTCCTGCATACCCCCTATTAAAGTGGGTGACAATTCAAGTCACTTAACAGCATGGAGATGAACCAATGGCATGACGGTCCGCAGCACACCTGTGCGTGCTCAGATTAGCAGGGGAAATAATTACATCAGAAGGCTTCCTCCACTTTACACTAGACATATTTCAGACATGATAAGCCTGAGCTGTCAATAAGGATAAGAACAAGGCGGGCAGATAATACAGTGAAAATAAACAACAGGCTTACAGATAGACAGATTGCTGACTTAAAAGATTTAATTAAAGGTAAGATGTATTTATTTATTTAGAACAGAACACATTAATTAACATCACACTGTGATGTTGTTAGCCACAATTCAGCCAGCCATAATGTCTAATTTTCATCTGCTTTCCTTGATAAATATATTTATGGTAACAATGTTTCGAATTATAAGGTTATATATAAATCAAGTTA